CTTATATCATACTTATCCTAGACAACCTATTTCATCATTTATATGCAATGGCACCTATTTCATCATATTAGCGCTTCAAAGCCACCTATTTCAACTTATCATGTCAACTACCTTTTTCATCATTATTCTACGCTGCCCTTTCCATCTTATATATTGAACGCAGCCGATTGTATCTCCTCTATTTCACCCTATCCGTTCCATCATATATTCAACTACCTATTTCATCCTATCCATCCTTGGCCTCCTATTCCATCATATCTATTAAGCTTTTCCATCTCATCCATCTCAATCATATTAAACTACCTATTCCATCCTATCCATCCTCGGCTTCCTATTCCATCATATTTATTAAGCTTTTCCATCTCATCTATTCGACGCCCATTCACTCAGTCACCTATTTCACCATCCACCTTATCCCTTCAGTGCTGTCAGGAAATAACTGGTTGAGTATAAGGTGGAAGAGATGGCGTTGAATAAATGAGAATGGATAGGTAGATTAGGATAACTTTGGGGGAATAGGTAGCGCTGAATATCCAATATGGAATAGGGAGGTGAGGATATCGTGAAATAGGTGATTTAGCGTATAAGATTGGCAGCGTTGAATGAATGAGACGGAATAGTTAGCAGGTAGAGGAGGAGGAGGAGGGGGAGGAGGAGAGGAGGAGTGGGAGGAGGAGGAGTGGGAGGAGGAGGAGTGGAGGAGGAGGGTGGGAGGAGGAGGAGTGGAGGAGAGGAGAGAGGAGAGGAGGAGAAGAGAAAGAGGAAGGAGGAGAGGCAGGAGAGGGGAGGAGGAGGAGGAGGAGGAGGAGGAGGAGAGGAGGAGGAGTGAGGGAGGAGGAGAGTGTGGGAGGAGGAGGAGGAGGAGGAGGAGAGGAGGAGAGGAGGAGGAGGAGGAGGAGAGGAGGAGGAGAGGAGGAGAAGAGAAGAAGAGAAGAAGAAGGAGGAGGAGAAGGAGGGAGGAGAGAAGGAGGAGGAGAGGAGGAGGAGGGAGGAGAGGCGAGGAGGAGGCGGAGGAGGAGGAGGCGGAGGAGGCGGAGGCGGAGGAGGCGGAGGCGGAGGAGGAGGAGGAGGAGGAGGCGGAGGAGGAGGCGGAGGCGGAGGAGGAGGAGGCGGAGGAGGAGGAGGCGGAGGAAGAGGAGGAGAGGAGGAGGCGGAGAAGGAGGCGGAGGAGGCGGAGAAGGAGGAGCGGAAGCGAGGAGGAGGAGGCGAGGAGGAGGAGGAGGCATATTTCATTCTTCCTATTCCAGCGCATAGATTCATCTCATAAACTGGATCACCTATTTCATCCTTTTTCATTCTCTCTATTCCAGCGAATATATTTAGCGCTACCTCTTTACCCGCTATCTCGTGCACGCTATCTAACCTCCCCCCCCACCGCTATCTAACCCTCCCCTCTCCCCCTCCCCACCCACCTCTCCCCTCCCCTCCCCTCCCCTCCCCTCCCTTCCCTCTCTCTTCTTCCCTTCCCTTTCCCCTCCCCTCCCCTCCCCTTCCCCCCTCCATTCCCTTCCCCTCCCCTCCCCCCCTCCCTCCCTCCCTTCCCTTCCTCCCTTCCCTTCCCTTCCCTTCCTTCCCTTCCCTTCCCTTCCCTTCACCGCCTTCTGTCTCGTTCGTGGTCTTCTCGGGTACCTTTCATTAAGGTATCAATTAAAGTAGTTTCTTACCTGTTTTGAGTACTTGCATGGCACGCACACTTACGCTCTCATACACATCTAAAAAATGAAAGGATAAAGAAATGAAAGAAAATAAAGAAATAAGAAAAGAGAAAGGGGAAAAGAAAAAAAAAAAGAAATTAGAAAAAGAAGAAAAGAAAAGGAATAAAAGGAAAAGAATAAAAGAGAGAAAAGGGAATAAAAAAGAATAAAAAAGAAAAATAATAAAAGAAAAAAGAAAAAGAAAAAAGAGAAAATAACATACACACAATAACGCACGTGAGCTATATGAGTAACTGAGGAACACTTAAGAAAAAAAAGTAAAAGAAAGAAAAATAAAGAAGGAAAAAAAGTAAAAGAAAGGAAAAGAAGAAGAAGAAAAAGAAGAAAAAAATATACGAGTAATTGAGTAATTGAGGAACGAAATCGCGGATAGCTTATACCAGGATTATTTTTGGATTTTGTAACGAGATCGAGGAGGTAATGGGAATAAGAGATTGCATAATAAAAGGAGAATTGGAAAACATTTTGAAGAATATGAATTGCGTTCGTCCTGAAGGAAGAAAGATAATGGATTATAAATACACTTTCTTTCTTTTCCTTTTCCTTTTTTTTTCTATCATTACTTTTTTTTCTTCTACTTTTCTTTCACTGTGTTTTTATTCTATTTCATTTTGTTTCTTTCTCTCTTTTACTCTTACTCTTTCTTTTTCTTCGGTTCTCCATAGTTTTCCTGTCTCTCTTCCCATCATCATCATCAGTATTCTCTTCCTATCATACAACACATCAACGCTGCTGTCTTCATCGTTATAATTTTTTTTCTTTCTTTTTTTTTTAAAATAATGTTTATTGTTATCACCGTCATCCGTTTCGTAATTTTTTGTGTCTTGCAATTTTCACGGCGATATGTTGGTTGCAGGCACTGGAAGAGCGAGTATGAGGGGGGGGGGTAAGAAACAGCGGGGGGGGGAAGGGGGGAGGAGGGATGATGAAAGGGAAGCAGCGTGAGTCAAAAGTGTGAAGAGAAGGATGTTCTCTCTCACAACTTTTTGACTCACACGGCATTAAGTGTGAAGGGAAAGGAAGTAATTACGGAAATGTGAAGAGAAGGAAGTATGTACGGAAGCAATTGTGGAGAGAAGTGAGTATGTACTGCGATAAGTATGAAGGGAATTAAGTGTAAAGGATAATAAGTGGGAGGCAGTGAAGGGAGTAGGTAATGAAGTAAGCTTGAATGGAAGTAAGTGAGAGGGGAAATAAAAAAAAGGGAAAATAGCGTGAGCAAGAATGTGTGAAGGAACTGTCGTGACGTGAAGTAAACGTGAAGCAAAGAGAGTGCGAAGGAAGGTAATATGAAGGAACAAGAAAAAAAAGGAGAGAGAGAGAGAGAGAGAGAGAGAGAGAGAGAGAGAGAGAGGAGAGAGAGAGAGAGAGAGAGAGAGAGAGAGAGAGAGAGAGAGAGAGAGAGAGAGAGAGAGAGAGAGAAAGATCATCATAGAGGAGGAAACATGAACGAAGGTATTTTACCAGGAACATCTGAGAAAAAAATTTCTAAAATAAAAGGAAAATCTACAAAACTAAAGAAAAAAATAGTGGAGGCCTACTGTCGTTGATGCAGGTAGTCCGAGGGAAGGTGGACAAAACATTGGAAGAATGTTGAGCTTCTGCAGAACGACCCCCGCGCCCTTACCTCCTCTTACCCCCGCCTCCCCTTTCGATTAACTCGCCCATCCCCATCGTCACCCTATCGACCTATCTCCTAATCACTCTCCATCAGCCTCGCCCCTTCCTCCGTGATAGACGAGCGTATATGGTTCTTATCCACCCCATCCCCGCATTATCCTTTCCACTTTCCACCCACCGGTGCGTCGCTCTTACCCCTTTCCCCTCAATAGATATCCAATAACACCCGTTCTATTGGATCTTGTCCCCTTCCCCTCACAGTGATCTCTATAGACAAAACCCAGCCGACGCCGTTTAAAGCCCAGTATCCGCCTTCCCTCTATATCCACCCTTAATTCACGCCTCTTCGTCCCCCCTTCCCCTCCTGATCCAACTAACCCTCTCCCTTCCCCTCCCTATCCAGCCACCCTTCCTCAATCCACTAATCCACTCAACACCTCTACCGACGCCGACTCCCCCCCTCCGCTATCCCTCCTCATACCGCCATCCCCGGCTCCCTCACCTCCTATCCTCAAATACCCCTCCTACCCCCCCCCCCGCCGCCCAAATACGTTACCGTGTAAACCGGACTAACGCAGTATGTGAGTCCGAGATAACTAGAGACAAATGTAACGTCCGAACAACGCAGAGGGCGCACGCACGCGAGCGCACAAGCTGGGTCTCTCGAATGTGGCCGGCAGTTAGGCCAGAAAAGGGGAAGAGAGAGGTAGACGAAGGAAAGTTTTTTTTTTTTATTTAGTTATTATTTCCTTTCATGTTCTAATTGGCTTTTTTTTTTTTTTTTGTCTCTCAAAGCCGCATCAATATTGTAGCAATGCTCTTCAAAGTGCCTATTATTTTTTCATTCTTGCTTTTGTTTATATAATGTTTTTCCCACACTTTCTTCTCCTCCTCGTTTTTTTTTTATTTTCACTCTTCTATCGTATTTCTCTCTCTCCTCTCTTCTTCCACTCCTTCTTCCTCGTGTGGCTGCGTTTACTCGTATGGTAGTTTTGTATTTTTTTTCACCTTTCTTTTGCTTCCTTCTTTCTGCCCTACGATTATTTTTTTTGTTCCCGTTTTCCTCGTGCTCCCCTTCTCCTATTTCTGAGCACTTGGTCCTTTATTTTTGTTTATGGTTACCAACCCGCCCGACATAGCACCATATTTATCTTTTCTAAACACTTTTGTAAACTCTTCTCTCGCGTTCTCCTTTATTTCCACTCTCCTTCGTTTCTCTCTTTATTTCCTTAATTTCTTTGTACGTATGAATTTTCTTGTTTCTTGCTTTTCTCCTTCCGGAACACTTGTCAGCGGTCTAATATTCTTAGATATCGAACTTAAATTTTTTGCTTTCTTTCAACATTCACGTTTATCTTTTCTTTTATCTTCAACTCCTTCTTTCAGAGAGATGCATCTTTCAGTATTAATCTAATTTCCCTCATCACCTTCCTCTTTCCTTTCTCTCACCTTTTCTCTGGCCTCTCTTTCCTCTTTTCTCTTATTTTCTCCTCTTTATATTTCATCATTCTCCTTCGTTCCTCTCGACTACTTGTTTATCAATCCTATTTTCTCGTCGAACTGTTTTCTCTGCTTCTCTCTTTCCCAGACGGTTACTTTCTTCTCTCCTCNTAGTAATGAGCTGCAGGCTGGACAAAAGTTTTAAGAAAATATTTAGCGAGCAATCTAACTGTGACGACACCGGTGGCGAGCTCTTGACTTTTTATAAAAATGAAACTTAGATGTGGCTAAGAAGTGTGTTTCATAAAGAGCAAAGAGAATTTAAATTTCTTTTTGGAATTTTTTGATGTAAAATGGTTATATTAGGTCGTTTCATCCTAGAGTATCTAAAGTTTGAAAAGATAATGCTACTTATTATATTACATTTGTTTGGCTCAGCAGCTCCTGTTTACTAGCATTCCCAGACTTAGCTAAGCGCTGTGAAACAATAATTTGCGTTCAATAGTTATGTAAGTGAGTATGATAAAAATTTGCTGCATTTATCAGATGCCCGTAGTGCAGAGAAGGTATGAAATACGTGGATAGTGTCCTCATGCATAAATTGTGATAATATACGTCATGAAATTATTAATCAGAATAATGTCAGCTCTTTCTGAAAAAATAGACATAGCCGATAAAATACATCAAAAATGTAATATTAAAAATAATGCGGGATTACGATTATTGAACACTAAATACAAACTGTACTATATATATTTCTCTCACCTCTCTCCTACCTTTTATTCTCTTTGGGCTCTTGTACTATTTCTTACTTCTGGGTATTTCTTTACTAATCTGTTTTTTTTGTAAAATCTCTTGCGCTTCTTTGGGTTCTTACTTTATAATTATTTCTACTCTCTACTACTCTTTTTATCTTTTTGGCGTAGGGTATTTATTACTTCCTGTTTTATTTCTTTGCGATATTTTTTTTCTAATTAATTATAACATATATATTGTTTATCTTTGTCTGCCTATTATAGGTTTACTTTATCTCCTGTCTCTCTGATCTCCGTTTTGCTTCTTATCTCTCAACATTTGTTTCTTTCTCCTTATACTCTTTTTCTATCCTTTTCAGAATGGGTCCTATTTTTCAAATATCTTTTTTTCATTGGGTCTTCTTCCTTATTACAATCTTGGGCTCTTTCTCCTTTCCCTTCCGCCTGTTCTTTCTGGTTTCGCATGCATCACTACTTTCTTTCTCGCCTTCCTTCTTCTGCATTTCCTCCTTAACCTGATTTTGCTCTAAATCCTTCTTCCCTTTTTCTTTCATCTCCTCCATCCTGCTTTTCTTAGTCTACCCTTTCCACCTACCCTTTATATTGTTTCCCGTTCTATCCCTCCACTCCCCCTTCCATCTTTTTTCCCTTTCCTCTCCCATTCTCTTTTTACCCCCCTCCCTTTTCCTTGTTTCCCATTTTTATCAGCTGTTTCTGGTACTTTCCCTTCTACATTCCCTTTCCTCCTTCTGTTTCATTCCTTTTTCACTTTGGCTTCTTCCTTCCCCTCCCCTCCTACGCTTTCTAGTTCATCTCTCCTTCCCTTAATTCCCTTCTTTCTTTGCCCTTCCTCTCCTTCGCCCCTGCTCTTTTCCCTTCGCTCTCTCCCTCGTCCTCCACCTTCCCTCCCCACTCTTCTTGTCCCCTCACCCCTTCTCTTCAATTTCCCTCCCTTCCCTCTCACCTTTCCCTTCTCCTCCTCCCCTCACTCCTGCTCTTTCCACTCCCCTCCTTCCTTTCCCTCCCCTTCTTACCTTCACTTTTCCTTTCTTGTCATTTCCCCTTTGACCTACCGTCTCCTCGCCCTCCCTCTTCTTTTCCTTCCCTTCTCCCTCCTCCTCCTCTCTCTTTCTTTTCGTTTCCTTTCCCCTCTCCCCCTCCCTCTTCTCTTCCTTCTCACTTCCACCTCCTCCTCTTCTCTTATTTTCCTTTCCTTCCCCCTCCTCCCCCTCTCTTCTTTTCCTTTCCTTCCCCTTCTCCTCCTCTCTCTCTTCCTTTCCCTTCCTTCTCCCCTCCCTCCTCTCTCCTCTCTGTCTTTTTCCCCTCCCTTACCCTCCCCCCCGTTCCCCCACCTACCCCTCCTTTTGGCCTTCGTCTTCACAACACGCACACGCTGTCACGCCTCTTAATCTCCATTCCTTTACCTCTTTCTCCATCTTTCGCATTGTATTTCCTGCCAAGTCTTGCTTCTTCTCTTATCTTATATTTTTTTTTCTTATTTGATTTCATCCATTATCATTATTTTTTCTTTAAGAAGCAATTCATTTTCTGTCATCCTTCCCTTCCTGACTCTGTGTCCTCTGTCAAGTATTTGCATTTTTTTTGCACATTCTATTTCCCTCATTCCTATTCCTTCCCCAGCATTAATTCCTTTCCTTCTCTATTCCATTTTATCATGTTCGAACCTTTCCTCCTTCACCTTAAACCCTTCCCCCCATTTCTCGCCCTTCCCTCCCTCCCTCCCCACTTCCCCTCCCCATGCCCCCCCTTCTCCATTCCTATTCTCCACTTTCCTCCCCCTTCTTATCCTTATCCTTATTTTCTCCACTACACCCTACGTAGCACACTCTGCTTTTTAGGGGTTTGCGTGCGTAAGGGTGACAGGAGGTAAAACGGTGTGACGCAGATTTCGTAACCGAAGCGTGACAGGGCGCCGAGCCTTTGGATGGCAGGGTCAGAGCAGTGTGAGAGCAGTGCCTAGCATATTGCAGTTGTACATGCTGTGTCCGTGATGCTACAGCTTGTGGTATACTTATAATGTGCCTTATGCTGTCCGAGTTTGTATAGAAAGTTATGCGGCTCGGTTCTTGGTTCTTGAATTGCGCGGAGGCCCGAACCCAAAGGAATATGTCGGCATACTTTGACATGCATAAATAAAGAAAAGATGCCGTATTATCAGTGTTAGACAGGTGCAAAATATCAAGAAAGCTCGGCAAAAAGCCTAAGGAAAACAGGTGTGGTTTAAATGTATAGTCTATTAGATTAATTGTAGACCAGTATGCCTTTATTTCTGCGTCTGTATTTATGAAAAATCGTTGGGTCGGGCCTGGCACAATTTGAACAAACCGGCTGATAGTGTGGTTTATATAACTACCACTTCATTATTTTAGTACAACTACAACTACAATGTGACCGACAATATTAGCAATACTAGAGCAGTGTCAGAATAGTCTCAGTGAAGTGTTAAAACGTTGGTTTATATACTGCACTGTACTGTACTACCTGTTGCAACTACGCATTGTATTACTAAAACTAGAAACTGCATCTCACTTCATTTAACGGTCAATATCACTGTGGTTTATATTAATACAACTTACAGACTACTCAAATGACTACAGCTGTAGCTATCTACAACCAGGTGTAGTGCAGCTATCTATAACCACGTGTAGTATTATCTGATCAGAGTCAGGGCAACATCAGAGTAGAGTAAGAGCATTTCTAGAGTAAGATCAATGTCAGCAGTGTCAGAGTAGAATGAAAAACAAACAAACAAAAAAAAAAAACACAACAACAACAACAACAACAAAAAAAAACAATCACACCCGTATCCACCACCCATATCCACCATCGCCTAGTCCACACATCCCAAATCATGCGACCCAGACCCACACAATCCCACCCACATTCACCCACTCCTATTCACGCTCTCCCTCTCCCTTCGCCAACAACCCTCGCCCTCGTTTCCCCCCTCATCTTCTCCGCCGTTCCCTCACACTCTCGTTTTCCCCCCTCTTTCTTCTTCCGCCGTTCCCTCCCCCCCCCCCTTCTCATCGAGAGGTCTGCCACCTTTGTCCTCTCCAATCCCATCAGAGACTTCATCGAGCCGAGAGCAAAGAAAAGCAACGGAATAACATCGCGTCGGAAAGGAATCATAAACTGTTTGCCGAGCGGTTTGATGACGGAAGCGGGATCGAAAAAATAGAGAGAGAGGAAAATCATTTTAAAATAAGAATAAGAAAAAAGGGGAAAGGGCGAATTTAAAAATAGATAGAGAGATGTTGATGGATAAACAAGACAACATTTGTTTTTTTTTTATCTCACCTTTAAACTGCAAAATAAGAAGAGACGAGGTGAAGAGGATGAAGAGATGAAGAGAGAGCAGAGAGAGAGAGAGAGAGAGAGAGAGAGAGAGAGAGAGAGAGAGACGAGCGAGAGAGAGAGAGAGAGAGAGACGAGAGAGAGAGAGAGAGAGAGAGAGAGAGAGAGAGAGCATTAGAGAGAGAGAAGAGAGAGAGAGAGAGAGAGAGAGAAGCAGAGGGAGAGAGAGAGAAGAGAGAGAGAGAGGGAGAGAGAGAGAGAGAGAGAGGAGAGAGAGAGAGAGAGAGAGACGACGGAGAGAGAGACGAGAGAGAGAGACTGAGAGAGAGAGCGAGAGAGGAGAGAAAAGAGAGAGAGAGAGAGAAAGAAAAAGAGAGAAGAGAGACAAGAGAAAGACAGCGAGAGAAAGACATCGAGAGAAAGACATCGAGAGAAGAAAGACAGAGGAGATGAGAAAAGGGACAGAGAGAGAGAAAACACACAGATAGAAAGACAAGTAGATGTGAGGAAGACAGAGAAAGAAAGACAGATGAGAGAAAGACCAGAGAGAAAGACAGAGAGAGAAAGACAGAGAGAGAAAGACAGGAGAGAAAGACGAAAGAGAAATGACAGAAAAGAAACACACAGAGAGAAAGACATAGAGAGAAAAGACATACAGAAAGTCAGAAGAGAGAGAGAGAAGACAGGGGTTAAGAGAAAATGGTCTTTCGTTGGGGGGAGGGGGAGGGGGGAGGGGGGAGGGAGGAGCCAACGATGAACTACTCAAGACCTGAATACTCACGAGTGTAATACAGAATCCTTCCCTCTCCTTCTGCTCCACTGAACGAAAAAAAAGAAAAAAGAAGAAAAAAAACATAAAAAAACGGTTATAATCGTATTTTGAAGAGAAGCATTGTAGAAGAAGCGGCTTTTGCTTGATTTTGATGATATTATTAATCATGATTTGAGATCAATAATTGTGTAATGATAATGGAAACGATTTTGAAATGAAAAAAATTGATTAGGCATATATAAAATATTAATAACAATTAATAATAATAATAATAATAATTGCAATTAGTAATAATAATAATAATATTAATTAATAATGATAAGGATAATAATAATAATAATAATAATAATATAATAATAATATAATAAATCGACAATAACAATTAATAATAACAAATCAATAACCAACACAAAAATAAGAATCTTTCGAAGTCATCAGCTGGCAGACATACACTTAATGAACTACAATCAATAACAATAGCATTCCCCACTCCTCGAACAACTTACGAACACAAAGTTAGCTGTCGGCGCCTCACCACCTCTTTTTATCTTCTGCCCGCGCCTGCCGGTTGTCCCGACAAAAGTAGGAACTCATGCTCATTCGCTGCTTCCGTTTGGGGGTTGGCGGTGTGCGGGGAGGTGGGAGGGAGAGAGGTGAGGGGCGGGGGGTGATAGGGGAGAGTGGAGGCGGGGGAAAGGGGGGCCGGCGGGCAAGGGGGGGGTGGAAAGAGGGTTTGGGGGGAGAAGGGGTGGGGGAGAAGGGGAAGAGGGGTTGGGGGAGGGTGAGGGGAGAAGGGTTGGGGGGCAAGAGGTGTGAGTCGGGGGTGAGGGAGAGGGGTTGGGGATAGGGGGGGAAGAGGGTTGGGGAGAGGGAAGAGGGTTAGGGGAAGAGGGTTTGGGATTGGGGGGATAGGGGAGGGGGTTGGGGGAAGGGTTGGGGGTGAGAGGGTTGGGGCTGAGGGGAGGGGGAAGAGGGAAGAGGGTTAGGGGGGGAGGTTGGGGTTGGGGGGAAGGGGAAGAAGGGTTGTGGGAGACGGGTGTGGGGGAGAAAGACATAGCAGAGAAGACAGAGTAAGAGAAAGAAAGGGTTGGGGGTTTGGATGGGGACGGGGAGAGAGGAGCCGGGGGGGGTGAGGTGAAGAGGGTTGGGGGAGAAGGTGGGGTTGTGGGAAGGTGAGGTCGAGAGGTCGGCGGGGGTCGGGGGTCGGGAGGGTCGAGAAAGTATCGGGGGTCGGGTGAGAAGGTTGTGGGTTTGAAAAGTTCCGGGGGAGGGGGGTCGGGTACCAGGCACCAGGGGAAGAAGGGGTTGGGCGGTCGGGTAGTCGGGCGTCGTGGTAGTCGGTGTAGTCGGGGTGAGTTTGGTGTTATTGAGTTGATTTCTATTGTTGGTCCTGATGTGTAACAGAATTAGATCCTATAACAAGATGCTTCTTCTTTATATATATAATCCAAGACTGTTATGATACTCGCGTGATAACATCATAGCAGCGGTAACAGCGACAACTGCAGCAGAGGAGAGCGCGTAATAACAAAAACGTAGGAAAAAGAATAGGACAAATAATAAAGATTATAATGATAATGATGATGATTCAAAAATAATGATTTAGGTAATGCTGATAAGAGTTTGGGTTGAAAATGATGATCTAAACAATGGTAATGACGGATAACTTGATAAACAGATGAATAAATAAATAAATGCACAAGTAAAAACTCATATACATACATACATATATATATATATATATGTTTGTGTGTCTGTGTGCGTGTGTGTGCGTATGCGTGCGTGTGTGTGTATGTATGTATATATGTATGTATTAATGTATTAATTTATTAATGCATGTATATATGTATGTATGTAAGTATGAATGTATGCATGTATGAATGCATTTATGTATGCATATATACACGTACGTATATATGTATGTAAGCACGTATATATGCATGTTCATATTATATCCATATGTTCCTCCATACACACACACACAGACGCACAGACGACCGAAATCCCGAGACCAGAAGGGTGGCAATTACGACATGCAGAAGGAGCGCTCCAGGAGGCCCCGCCCCTCACGAGACGCCGGGACACAAAGTCTTTCTTGTCTCGTTAGAAGTTTGATGAAGTCTTGGCCTTGTTTTGATGTCGGAGCTTCGTCGGGCGCCGCGTGGTTAGCTATTCATCGGGTTGGGAGTGATCGTCGAGGGAGGAGCCAAGGAGGTATTGTGCGTGTTTTTTTTTTTTTTTTTTCTTTTTTTTTTTTGGGGGGGGGTTCTCTTTGTGTTCTTTTCTTTCGCTTTTTTTTTTTTTTTGTCTTTTTCTAACTCTGTCTTTCTCTGCGTCTATTTCTAACTCTCTCTTTCTCTGCGTCTATTTCTAACTCGCTCTTTCTCTGCGTCTATTTCTAACTCTCTCTTTCTCTGCGTCTATTTCTAACTCGCTCTTTCTCTGCGTCTATTTCTAACTCTCTCTTTCTCTGCGTCTATTTCTAACTCTCTCTTTCTCTGCGTCTATTTCTAACTCGCTCTTTCTCTGCGCGTCCTAACTCTCTCTTCTCTGCGTCTATTTCTAACTCTTTTCTCTGCGTCTATTTCTAACTCTCTCTTTCTCTGCGTCTATTTCTAACTCTCTCTTTCTCTGCGTCTATTCTCTCACTCTTTCTCTGCGTCTATTTCTAACTCTCTCTTTCTCTGCGTCTATTTCTAACTCTCTCTTTCTCTGCGTCTATTTCTAACTCTCTCTTTCTCTGCGTCTATTTCTCTCTCTCTTCTCTGCGTCTATTTCTAACTCTCTCTGCGCTATTTCTCTCTTTCTTCTCTGCGTCTATTCTAACTCTCTCTCTCTCTGCATTCTAACGCTTCTAATTTCTCTCTTCCTTCTCTGCGT